TTAACGACCGGGTGGTTTGCCGTGAATGTTAATCAGCCTCTGTGCGTCGTGTAGGATTATTAAAAATAATAATAGTAATAACGTACGACCACCATACACAATTCATGTTCAGATAATATTTACAGTCACTTAATGACGGAGTAAAAAAATAATAGTTTAGCGGGGAGGTTGGTCGTTTTGGTTAGATAAAATAAATAGATGTCATTATACGTACTACCGCAAGGCCTATAATATCCGGTATATAATATGTACAGTGCTGTTTGTCGAACCAATTCGTTCGATAACGACTTTATGTACGCGTATACCTTAACAGCAAATGAAAAATACAAACTGTAATTTTACTATCTCCGTCGCAATACACCTGTAACGGGTCTTAAGTGCAGACATAACGTCGAAGGTTCAATACATAAAATATCTATAGCCCATAGGTATGTATGCCTATTCTTTCGATTAAGTGCAACTATTTTTTTTTTTAAATATTTTTATACAACAGAATAGAACATACTTTTCTTGCAATACTGATACCTAGCGAGAATCCTTAAAAGCCAACCCGATAAAAGTACTAGATATACTTTGCACAACAAGTTAAAATAGTAAATAATGTTTAGCGAATTCGCATTCTCAGACGAATAAACGTTTCGGAGTAAACAGGAACGGTTAGATAATTTAACCGTTACAGTACATAAATAGTTTTTCGTTCATTAATAACTTAAAATAGTTGCTTTGTTTTTTGGTTCAATTGTACAGATTTGTATAAAAAAAAAACAGCTGATGACTTCCGCTAAAACATTCTATGAACATTTTACATTCGTTTCTTTATGATAAAACGCGATGTTAATCAGGGGCGCATATCGTTTTAAAAAAGCGAGGGGGGCTTAAACACCGATAATATTATCAACCCCTTGTCCCAAGTAACTTAATGTAAAAAACATAAACAATTTCGGGGGTGCTACTTTTTAAAGTGGGGGTGCTAAGTACATTTAAGTCCACCTCAAATTGCGCCTATATGATGTTAGTGTACTTGATTATCACGTTTGTGTTTCGATTGCGCGATTTGCTTAAATTGATCACTGCTAAATCGAATTGATCGAAACCCATATGAGTAGTCTACTCGTTGCCGTATTGAGAGCGAATGGAAAAATATAAATAATAAAAAAAAGGGTAGAAGCGCGTATCCCGGGAGAACAGGCGTCTCTTGGCATGATGGCAGCGACGACCGTGTCCCGCCCCCGAACCGAAAGCGTCCCGACGTCACACAAGATGGCTGCCGTTTCCACCCCCGAAAATCACTTGCACGCGATTTTCTGACCTTTGTTCGGAGCGAGGTGAAATTAAACTGACGTCACGAGACTTACACAAAAAAACAGCCGCGGTGCAAGTTGCACATTATGGATTTTTCTCGTTAAAATAAAGCCCACCAAAATGAGAGTAAGAGAGAAAAGTTTAAAATAATAATAATAATAATAATAAAGAGCCGGCGAGGCGATGGTTGCGACCGATGCAAATTAAACCGCACCCTTGACATAATTTCCATCACCCCCGCCACCACACCGCTTACCGTTCATCATCATCATCGCCACTGCCGACCCCACACCGTCGGTCCGGGTTCATTAAACCCTCGGTGCACTACCAGCAGGACCCGCCACCACCGTCTGCTGACCTTGGTCCTTGTTTTTAACGATCCCCCCCCCACCACTACCCCCGACATTGACCAACGCAACAATCGCCACCCCTCAACGATAATTATACACCGCGCACAGACAATATTATAAAGTTTGTATACTCACCACGGTATATATTAATATACTACAACACCGAGACACGATAAACGTTTACCATGATGACAACAATTGTAATTCATTATTGTTTTTTTTATAATTTACTTACCATATTATTATCTTTAATCAATAGACAATAACAGTATCGCTGTTAATGGCTTTGTTGTTGAAAACGTTCAATTGAGTTTCAATTAGAAGATTAAGTTTTTAGGAGGAGATTTAGACTGGAGAATGCAGGCATCGCATAGGGAAAACTGGAAGCAAGGCTGTATGACGGGATGGTCCTGGTGGCCAATTTACCTAAGAAGAAGAAGAAGAATATTCTTTAAAGCCATTAGGTGTATCTATAGACAAAACATTTTTGAGAGTTATTGTGACCGGTTTCTAAAATTCCTAAAATTTTAAGACTATATCGATACCACTTGTGTGCTTCAACACAAGTGCTATGTCCATTTTTTTCAAAATCGTGATTTTGGGTATCCCTGAATTCGTGAAAAAAACTGAATCGAATGAACACCAGTGGTATGTCCAAAGAGCATAAATAATTGATCAACTACAAATAATCGTGAAATTCGATATCCTTTGGGGATTTTTTTTAAGAATTCAAGAGTTAAACACCCCTACCTCAAAACCATAAAAAGTGGACATAGCACATGTGTGCTTCAAGGTATCGATGTATATGTGTAATAAGGGCCTCAAATACACCTATTATTTGACAAACGGGAATAAAAATAATAATATTAATTACTTTAAAGTTGTGGCAGGCTTTATTAAAATATTTGTCGTAACTATAAAAAAATATCAATTGCAGGTTGAAGGTCTGGTCGAGTCCAAAGTAAAAAAAAAAGGTTGAACTTTTTCTTTTATACCTTTGTTTAACTGTAAATTGAAATTTTTATAGCATAAACAAAATTTCAATCGCAGTTTTATGTTTGGAATCCACCAGACCTACAACCAGCACTAGTAAAGTTTATTCAGTTTTGTTTTTTTTTTATTTAGTACGAAATGTTTTATCAACTCCCACCCATATTTCTTTTCGTAGCTATTTATTATATCTTATTCTCAATTTGTACTTTTTGGTATCAAACAGAGGACCGCATATTATATCCTCAGCATCTTGTTTTCGGACGTTATCAATCCCGATCCAATTATCTTTGCCAGTGGCTATATTTCATAACAGCTATAGATCGGGGTTGGTCCTACCACCACTATACAGAGTCTTTCTTCGTTAGCTTCGAAATGTGTACTCCCTTGCTTACGTATTTTTTATTTAGACATCGTCCCGGCTATTACTTTCTCCCTTCGGTCCCTAACTGTCGTTAAGGTCGGTCGATTTAAATAGCTAGACCAAGAATGTCACGAACTTGGCATTATCGTTTAACGTCCGCTAAATGTATAGAGGTATAAAATATTATTATTATTATACGAAGCATAAAAAAAATATTGGTACCGCTCGAGAGTCATGACAAAACAGCGAGAAACCCATTTTCTGAGTGCCTAATGGACTCTGTCGACGTCGCCACAGAAGCCGAATTACTACCTTGTCTGTAGGTTGGGCATTATAAGCTCTTAGTGGTTTACATTTTCCTCGGAATTCGATTTTACACCACCGTCGTCACCCCCCTACACCACTTGGCAGGTTTATTATATTGCAAGAGAACGTTCTTGTACCCCCTTCCTCCGCCCGTGAGTTATTTCTCGAAGAGAGAAAAACACATTTCACCACAAAGTGTATACAAAATATAATATTATATGTCAGAAAAAAATATATTTCCATGAAATAAAAAAATGTCGCTTTTCACGCTTATATACGATGGCGGTATTTAAAAAGAAGTTTTTAATTCGAGTTACATTCGTATTTAATGTAAAAATATTTATATACCAAACAAACAAAAATACTTTTTTTTTAGATTATTATGCGATGGAAGTTCCTAGAAATACTTTTCAAAAAAATAACAATACGCCTTTAAGCATTGAATAAACAATGAATACCATTCTTTTTTATCGGCGATGCTTTCAACATACAATACATCAAACAAATTTGAATACGATATACATTTTACACAACAGTGAGCAGTACCTAGGGATTTTATCTTTAACGTAAATATAAGGAAAATCGAATTCTTTAAACTAGGTACAATAATAATTACTACTGCCGCCTATTGTAGATTTACACACGTGTTAAAACTTAATAAATGTCAGTTAAACTGGTTGTAATCTAAACTAAATAATTTATGTGGAAATGTTTTTTGATTGTCTATGGATAAAGGTTAGTTTTTTTAATCTAAAACAATAAGTTGCATTTAATCGTCTCTATATGCGATTATATTAACATATTTAAAATATTATGTCTATAATGAGCAATTGATAGATTTCAAGACAAAATTTTGACTCATAAAATAAGATATGAACAGTCATAAAAATGAACACAAAATCCTTCTCGGTAGTTATGGGTTAGAAGCTAGTGTCCTTAGTTGTATTAGTTTGCAACATGTCCAGGGCTCAAGAAGACGCTACATAGGGTACCACCGCAGAACAACAAATAGCGAGCATTTATCAAGTGCCAAATTTGTATTGTGTGGTGCAACAAAAAAGGGGAGTTGGACATTTTAAAAATCACTTTTTTTTAGCAACAATAAAGAGTATACTTTGACATAATATATCGGATCGATTATAAATATATACATATGTTATTATACAAATATTATTTTTTTTAACAAAGACCCAGGGCGATAACTCAATACTTTTAATGTTATAATAAATGTACAAAAAACCATCCAAAATGGTACTTAATAACATTTTGTGAACTGCCTGTCATAATAATTATAATGTTATTAAATCAAGCGTATAGTACTTTTAAGTATACTGTAATGTTACTGATCAGTAAGCGTTCCGACATTTATTAAGTAGAGAATATCTTCTTCTCATCTATCGCATCGAAGCCGAAAAAATGTAGGCAAAATTATTTGATTGGTGTTATGTTTCTCGTTGTTATTTCAATATATTATACTTATGTTTTAGGGTAAAATGATGATTTCGATATTAAGTTACGACGGTCGACCGCCGGAGAGTTAGAACAAAACATTATGTTTTAATAACCAACAAAACACCACAAAACAAAATCGGTTTAATAGGAAATTTAATAATTCTAGGTTATACTGCAATCACACGAATTATTATCCAAAGGACAGTTATTTAATGGTATGCGTATGGTTGACGTACCCGACGATGAATATTTAACCGAAAGACTGCGCATCGCATACGGCTCGACCTCGACTAATTATTTCAATTAAGCTCAATGCGTGTGAACGACGACGTCTCCGTTTTCTTACACACATAAGTACACATTTTATATTTTTATATATCATTATTAACGTGTGTGCAAGTATATAAGGAGAATATCGTAACGTGTACAAATGACGGCGTCGAGCGTATATTGTTTGTCATCTGCTGTGCATATAATAACACGATGTGTTCCCCGACCAGCCGTCCGCGAAGATAGACTGTGCCGCATTTTTTTATGTTTGGAAAAAAAATCGACAAAAAACAGACAGATAACGCGGCATGAGGTAGAATTTTTCTTTTCTCAAACCAGCCGTCGCGACCTCCGCCGAGAGACGCTGGCGCGTTCGCCACGTGCACGACAAATGTCAGCGGGAGACAACCACGCTATTATTTTAACATAATTATATTATATTAACAACGTTTTACAGGGGGTCGGTAGGGAAATATCCTACGCACACAAGAACGTCTTATTCTTATTTCTATAATTCAATCCTCTGTATCATCTCTAAACCACCCTCATCGGCTATAACAAAGAGTGTTTCGATCAAAGCTGACTATCCAATCTCTAGGATTTCTCTAACTTTCCTTTTCCTTTAACCTTCCTTTATTTTCTATATACTATTTATTTTCTTATTCTTAATTTGCGATTGGATGGTGTTGGCCATGGATCAAGAATCATAATTATTAACAAAAATATATTATTTACCTAAAAAATGTTTAATAATCACCTAAAACAATGGAGTAATAAAGAGATTTATATAAACTTCTATAAGTATATTTCAATTTTCATAGTTATACAAGGTGATAATTTTATCGTGAACCATTCAATATCTCATAGGGCTCAATTACAAATTAACACAATTACCAAACATTTACTGCTTTTTAGTATTTTCTAGAGCGCTATTAACTTTTGAAACTTAAATGAAAACGTGGTTTTAACTTTTTTAGTTGAAAATAATATACTAAAAATGTTGACCGGTTGATAGCCAGTTTTGAGCAACTATTTTCAAAGTTATAGTAGTTTAAAAGTTAGGACGGGAAGGGAACTGCGCGCAGTTAAAATTAATACTACACTCCACCTGTCTTACTGCCCTGAACTTGAAACTTTCATAACTTGATGACAAACTAAATTATTTTTTCACGTCTTTTCAATTGGTATGCCTTGTTAATCTCCGTATTCCGTATGTGTATTCCGAGTTAAACTATGTTCTGTATCTTTTTAATGATGTTGACCTCTCAATGGTATGTGGTGGGGGGGAAGGGGGCGCAGTCGTTTTTTATAGGCCTATGTTTCGTTCGCAGATTGTCTATAGTATCCATTCGCCTGCTTTTCTATGTTTGCATACGGTCGCTAGAGGTTATCGCATGTGAATAAAGCAAAACTCGTTGGCGTATTTAAAAGCCTATAAAAAGTCTGCTGGATAATTTACCGCCGGTATTTCAATTACGTTTAATAATGCAATTATCGCTGGGTGCCTTTATATGAGCGTGCACGCGAGAAGAGATTGACGGAGGCGGTGGAAGTCTTGCGGTTATAATAATTACAAGAAACGTCCATGGGCGGTTGGTTGGCTATCTCCTGCATACTATCTCGCGGAGTTTATGGTATCTTTTAATTCTCAATTAACACGGAAAAGGTTTTTTTAAGTGTAAGTTTAACGCGGCTAACGGGTGCGCGCGCTCTTATAGGGCACGGTCATTCCCATATAATAGTTTACAATTAAACGGTGACTTTGCTGGCCCGTTATCGTGACTAAGTATTGCGCAACAATGGCAAATAAATCAGCATATCGACACGCGGTAATTGCCCGCGGGATCGACTGGAGGCGTTTATAGATCTTTTTATGCGTTTTAGATAATTTATAGGAAAGGAGGTATAGTTAGATATTATTTTTTATTGGTTTATCATAATCAATGCGCCTGACGTAATCAAAACTCTTGCTTAAGTATGTCACGGTGAAGCAAAGACCCTCAAAGGAAATGCAGATTTGTAATGATTGGTTTTTTTATATACAGGAAGACTTAAGATAGCATTGCACCTTTCCTCTACAATAAAGTTTGTTCATATAACGGATAAGCCATATTTTATAAGACTAATAATTCTCAGAGATGTGGGAATAAATAATCTCTACGAATCAAAACGAAAGCCTTTCGATAAACGATTTGAGTATGTTTGGCGGGAAAAAGAAATATACGAGACTGGCGGTTCGCATGAAAATAAGTAGGTCTATGCGAGTACACCTAATAGATTATAGGAATTAGGAGATAAATATTACTGAGTGCAAAGTAGTTAAAGTTGATGTAACAAGTAAAGCAGTATCAACGAGTTGTATTGCTGAACGCTCGTATATGTAAAATACGTTTAACGTTGAGTAGCATGAACATAAAAATGTTTGACCCGTTGATTTTTAATTAATTGTTTGATGAATTCATTTTTGAGCAACTATAAAAATAGAAAAATCCTTAAACTGACTTTTAATTTCAACTTTAAGATCGCTGATTGTTTATCAAAAAATTAAATTCCTGAAAAAATAACGATTATTTGGTTCAAATGGTTTGAATTTTATGACGAACATGAATTAGCTTAATATCGTCAGTTAAATCTATACACTTAAGACTTTCGGTAAAAATCGCTTGAACTATAATAATATTTATACTTGTTCCATAAGAGCTCTTGAAAAGTTATAACACTGCCTTGAAAATACGGATTTTATAAATTGATGTAGTTATTTTAATACAAATGAATATTGAACCTAGGTGTGTTATTATATAATATAATTTTTTGCGCGTGCGACTTATCGAGTTTCACATGCGTATAATACTATGGCGTATTAAATTACCACAATGTATTTTCCAAACTGATATACCTACATGTGAGTAGCGAGGAAAAAACGTTTTTTCCCTTTATTTTTTTATTTTTATTTAGCATAATATTAACATATTATTCTGATCGTATACATGTACATAAATATAAGTATTAGGTGGTGCAATTTTGAGTTATAACACTGTAATAGTATATTTATTATATTTAAATCGCGTGGACGCCTCAGCACCCTTTAAGAAAAATTCTTCTATGTCGCGTCTAATTCTATATTTTTTTCTCACGTGATAAAATATAATTAATCGCATGCATGCATATTTTATATTTGTGTGTATGTGAAAAAAATGCTCCTACTGGTGCTGTGTAGACTATGCATAATATTATACTACATAGTGACTACGGGATACTAGTCGGCCATAGGTATGCAAATGCCTCGAGCGCGGATGAATGAGAAAGGCTGAAGGTTCCCACAGCCAAGTCGGCGGCGGCTGCGGACCATTGAACGAACGCGGGACGTCTTATATGTTATTCTATTAGTATGCCACCTGCGACGACCACAAAGGCTACAGAGGAGTTAAACATTATTATTATAATAATAATAAAATTATGCAAAACATCTTTTATCCCTAAAATTTGCATGCGAGTCGGTGGTGCGCGGTGTGTGAAACGCAAAATCCATCGGCACACGTTATTATCATTATAATACAATTTAATGTTACAGTGTTTATTTTTCCACGCCGACTCTCGTGAAGCGTCCAGAACGGTAAGGTTAGGTTACGAGTATTGCCCCGGTAACGGTATTTTTTGTTTGTATGAATCGCGGGATGGTCCTTTTTATAGATAAACGTGTCCCGTTCGTTTCCTTTGCGGATAATATTACACATATACACCTTAAGCCATGAGATCGTAGTATCTTTGTACATAGCTTAACCCCTTTCCTACCAGAATACCGTTATAATGGCAAGCCACATTAGCATAATATTGTGTATTTCGTATCTATTATAAGTCGAATAAGGCAAATTTTAATTAAAAATAAATAATATTATAATACTCAAAACATTATTTCTCTCTGTGGGAAAAACATTAGGATCACGAATAACATGTCTTATGACATTTTAGCAATAATTGATTGTCATACAAAATTAATAACGATAATTATTTTAGAAAGACCTCCCAGACATTTTACCGAATACATTTTATGTATTAGAACATTGTATTATATAAGGTATATTTGAATCTTAAGGTTATTACGATGTATACTTAAATAAGCCTTGTTACTCATTTTTCAATGATAAATTATAAAAAGTTAAGTGATAAAAACATTATATATATATATATTATATATATATATATTCTTACAGAAAAGCAAACAAAAACAATGATTACCAATGCTTTCTTATGACGATATATTTTAGCTCCCCATTATAAATATTCTTAGTCGAATCAATGATATTTTATTTAAGTGTTTTAAAAAAAAGCTCATGCAACCAACATTTTATTGAGAAAAACTAGAGTTTTTAAAAATACCACCTTCTGTTTTTCATCACAAAATATCTGTGATAAGATATTTTAATAAAGCTTTGAGTATTGAGATCTTCTATGCATTTAGATATTAATAGTCAAATCCTAGTACACGGAAGTGCTTATTTTTGTTTAGCTTGTAAAGTGTTAAATCACATCATATGTTATCTTCTTTACCCAAGCCACAGATATCAAGACAACGTTATAACTTATACCCTAAATTTTCAAGCGTAAAACCCTACTACGCAGAATGTGTTACTCGGGCCATGACGGACTTCCCATAATAGGCTTAGCACATAAACACCTTTAATAAGAATTATATAAGTGTATACAGTTTAAGTAGATAATTAAATAAGTGGACGACTTTTCAAGACAATGACAATTTTATTAAAATAATTCCTTAAAAAAAGTTATCATCGTACCTATATTATGGGTAAATTAATGAATATTATATAAAAAAGGATAAGCTAATTCATCTAAAATGTCTTCATCTTACATATATACATATCATATCATTGATATGATATGTATATTTGTTCTAAAACCACTATCGACCGAGTAAAACTTATTTTGATTACCTACTTTAGAAAAACAGTTAAAAATGTTAACGAGGGCTCTGTGACGGTCTACCATTTATTTACAAATAAAGAATTGTCATGTCTTTAATGATAATTATGTATAATTATTTTAGCTTTAAATTAATATTTCGCAAACAAAATCCTTATACAGTACTCCTCAATAAATAGGGAGTATATTGTCCTTTTAAGACGCTAAGATAAATACAGCTGTTTAAAAAAAATGCGCGAAAAGTTCAAAATAAAATATAAAGCTTA